CTATATTCTGTTATTGTAAAACAATGGTAATGATAACAGTAACCACATATTTTTGTTTCATTTATACATGAATTCCTGTCGCAAAATGTGCATTTAGACCTACTGTGTTTTGGTATTTTACAATCCAAACTGGCAACAGATACCCATTTTTCCTTGGGTATGAACAAAACGATAGGTAGTTCACAATTTCTCAGTCCTTGACAGACGTAGAAAACTCCATCTGCAACGAATACATAGAATTATATATTACCAATATATTGAAACAGAGCAAATCAATTTAAACTAACATGCGATACTTGCAAAACTGTTTGATATTGATGCCAACAAAATTATACTATATGTATGCAGTTATGTTTACGCCAGGACCTGCTTATCATTTTGATATATATCTAAAAGCTTCATTTTTTTAACATTGATAAAATGTCAAACTTAAGATAAATAAACAATAACATTCTGCTTCAAAAATCAATTATTATGTTTATTCATAGCTCCAATTTGAAAGCATTGATTGGTGTAAAATTAAGATCCGATTTACACCTTTAAATGAAGTCTTTTGTGACTATTTAAACCTTTTCGAAGAAGCAAATACCCAGTTTGTCTTAGAAACAAATCAGCTCATTCTTTGAAATGGCAGAACTACAGTCTAGATCTCAAATAGCCGTTCTTGGATCAGGAAGAGTAGGAAAGAGTTCAATTCTACAACAATATTTGAATCGAGGATTTTCGAGCATATACAAAGAGACAGTTGAAGACATTTATCCTCAACCATATGATATTAATGGAAAGCGAAGATTTGTTGACTACATGGATACTGCCGGGAATATATACTTCCCTGCAATGCGTAAAATATATATTTCGAAGGCAGAAGGATTCATTCTTGTTTACTCAATCTGCGATAGCAGGTCATTTGAAGAGGTACAAAAACTGTGGAATGAAATAAAGTCTGTTCGGGAAAATAATCTAAGTATACCTTGTGTAATTGTTGGTAATAAACTTGACGAAGAAAATAAACGGCAGGTTGAAACCTTTGCCGCATTAGAATGGGCTTACAGGGAGAACCTTGGAGGTTGTTTTATAGAGGTTTCTGCAAAAGATAACAACGCAGTCAAAGAAGTTTTTGACATGCTATTGGAACAGTTGGGAAATAGGAGAGCTGAACAACCTGAAACATTCAGAATACGTTCTACCAGTTTCACAAGAAAAGAAGTTGCGTCTAAAAAATGTTGCAATAACTATAAGCAAAAAAAGAATAAAAAGATGGTGTCGTATGAAAAAGTTCAATGCTCAAGCAAATGTTTTCAAGATACTATATTTGACGATTTTAAAGAATCCACTATTTACAGAGTCCAAAGAAAACAAAATGAGTTTTGTCGGACTATGAGCGATAGCGACGCATTGATTAAACAGAAAAATAATGGAAGACAGTTTTCACGCAGCATGAGTGTGCCAAACGAGAAAACAAAAAACGGGTATCAGGGATGGAACAAAGTAAATAGAATTTTTAAAAGATTATTTCGACGTTCAGATTCAACGGTAAACAACTTAACAGAGGAAACAGAGGGCCACACTGTTATGTTGCTGCATAGTAAATTACAAGGACATAAAACACGAAGCTAGTCTTGGAATATAAATAACTTTTATGTTTAGTTGGAAGAAATTTTATTTTAAGTGGAACAATTTTATGAATGTAAAAATTGATTTATGATTATGCACTACTAGGGCAAAAATGCCACACATGTGTCACGCATGTACCTAAAAACGCATGTGTCACAGGTGTGTCACATGCGTAATACGCATGTTTCTTGCCACGCATGTGAATCATGCGTGGTACACATGCGTTCACATGCGTAACACACGCATGTGAATCACATGTGTCAGAAAAACACCTGTGTCACGCATGTGTTGGAAAACGCATGTGATACATGCGATATTTGCATGTGTAACACATGTATAGTCAAACGCATGTGTAACGCATGTGTTATACAGGCAAATTTTGTTGATGTGAATTCAAGTTAAATTTTTCACGTGAATTTTACTTTAAATTTTTCATGTGAAATTCACATGAAAAAAAGTTAATTGTGTCCAAGTTGAAAAAAATTAACATCAAAATTAAAACTTGTTTATTAACATCTAATACCTTGTAAGACATATATTCCATTGAAAATCTTATTTTACTTTTAAAAAAATTATTTTCACATGAAACTCCCCTTTTTTTGAATGATCAATGCATTTAAATGGGGAAACATAATTGGAACCCCCCTTTTATCCTGTGTTGGGACCCTCCCCCTTTTAAAAATGGCTGGATCAGCCCCTGATTATCCTTAATTGTCACCATAATAAATGGTATTTTATCCAATCAGCTTAGGAAAATAATCGCAGTAAAAAAAGGCTAAGTAAATAAAATTGCAATAATTGTCAGATATGGGTCCAGGATCCTTAAAAAAATGTGAGACTAGACTTGTAAAAAGTCTCTCTCTATATATAATTCCTAAAGGGAGTAGGCCAGGGGATTCTGTGAATCATCCCCCTTCCTCCATAAAATGTTCTTCTTATTTGAACAATTAAAAGTTTAAACATTTATTTTAATTAAGATTTTCATTGGTATTTCTTTTAATACATATACACAGGTAAAAGAAGTACATGCATTTATATTGGGAGAATTTGGTGTTAATTGCAGATCTTTTGATCTTCACCACTTTGAAAAAAAATGATTTAGAACTTGGAATATCTAGATGTGTTGTGTTGTGTTTTTGTTATTATTGTTTGAATAACTTTCTCAAAGGTGTGTTACAATAACCTTACATCTCTTTTTATTCCTATATATCTGCCAACTATCTTGGACAAAAGACAGACAGATACACCCAGTAGATATATTTAAGTCTTAGGTGCTTCATACAGTTATGGAACTAAGTTATAAATTTGCATATTTTATTTAGTATTTTCTTATTTGTAACCCCTTGTGTTACAAAACTGACTGATTGTATGTAACATTGACATTGGGTTGTACAAGTGTAAATTAAAAAATTACCTGGTTTGGTAGTTCAAACAAACGTGACCAATTAACATTGTCAATACTTGATTGTTGACCATTCTGATTATCTGTCCAAGTACAAAACTATGCTAACAATATAATACACATGAGCATATAGAAAGTACTTGAAAAGTCTCAGAGTGTTTGAGGTAGTCTGTCCTGTTCAATACGGCTCGTAAGATAAAGGGGAAAGCAACACTATTATCGTGTTTAAATCACGACAAACAATAGTCACTACATACTTTCGTCCCTTTAATTTTTAGGCTTATACAATGTACAGAATAATATACCATTATAACTTTATCATACATTCCTTCATCTTTGGTGTGGAATAAAAGCAAAGGATATAATTACCTGCTTATATTTTACTTGTGTTTCAAGCAAGCATTTGGTGGGTTGAGAGGGGTTTACTGTAACGGCGGTTATAAACTTACATAGGCGGATCCAGGGTGGGGGGCCTGGGGGCCCGGGCCCCCCTTTTGTGGGAAAAATTTGGTTGATTATATAGGGAATCACTGAAGCATGACTGGAGCGGCCCCCCTTAGGTCAGTCAGCGGGCCCCCCTTATGAAAAGTTCTGGATCCGCCACTGACTTACCACCACCCACGTGCCACCACATCAGTGTCCTGCAGGCACTTGCCCGCAGGTGGTGTCAAAAGTTAAATGTGCTTGTGTTTTTTCAAAGTTCATAAAATGTGGAACAAATATCCTCAATTTCTCTATTCTATTTATAAGGGGAACATAAATATCAATGATCAGTGTTGGAGCTGGGACTATTGTATAATAGTCTCCATAATAGTCCCAGGTTGGAGGCATTAATGTCATTAATACCATTGTGAGGGTACTACTGGAAAGAAGTTGTTTAAGAATAGATCAACCAAGGATTTGTTTATTGGATCAACGGTGATAACATTTTAAAACTGTGATACCCAAACAACCTTGGTATGAAATACTGTACAGAAATTCCCAGTAACCGTTGGGCTAAACATTACATAAAAACTAAAGGATGTGCCATTGACGGATCCAGAAATTTTCATAAGGGGGCCAACTGACTGCTAAAGAGGGGGCCTCCCTAGTCATGCATCAGTGATTCCCGATATAATAGATCAAATTTTTGCCACAAAAAGGGGAGGGGCAGGGTGCTCTAAATCCGCCTTCATGTGCAACACGAACCTCCAAAATACATGGGTGAACTCAAGTATTGTGAATGATAAAGTTAGGAACTTTCTGCTCAACATGTGGCAACCTAGGTTTGAGTATACATGTAATTGCCAACTTGAAATTAAGTAAGTAAAACTTTGATTTGATTCGCCATATTGGCAAACATGTGAAGATAAGATCTGGTGAGCTTTTCGTCGAATATCATGAGGAGATAGTGTTAAAAATATTTGCATAGTTCATGAGTTGAAAATTATAAAACAAAATATATTGTTTAACCTTGGCCAAAAAGATCAAGTCCAAAACTGGCTGTTATTTGTGTAGGCTACCTTAATCTTGAAGAGTATGCAATTCTAAATCAAGGAGGCGGTAGGCAATTTCCTAATAATATTACAAAAGAACTTGTCACAGATTCTTAACTAAACGTCTATCAGATTAGTAAAATTTCTAATTCACTGACATCTGTTGGACATAGATACTCAAATTGCAGAATCTTATTAGTAATAAAAAAAAATCTGTGTTTTCTGTGACATCATTTTGAAAAATATATGTTTATATTTTATTTATTACACTCTAACTGTCTAACATTTAATTCTCCTCTGATTAGAATTTAGAGTAATTATCGTTTGTCAATCAGTTTCCAAACTTCCCATGCCCCCCTCAGCAGAGTTATTTAATTCTGAATGGAACAAAATGTGAATGAGTTATAAATAATATATAAATGATTGAATATTCTTTATTTAGTTTTTTTTATTCTCAATTCTTCCAGAGACATGTATATGCTCTGAGAATAATGTCTTTGCATGATTCTCAGTCATAATTAAGTATACTCAATTATTCTCTATGATCCTTCTTTCTATATTTTTGCTTTTCAACTATCTATATATTTTTTTTGTGTCCTTATTTAAATCCCCATTCTTGATTCCAGACTAACTCTCATATATATACGTAAACATGATGTACGAAAGCTTGGCACGTCGAATACGGAAACCCGGAAATCTTTTCACCGTTGTCGTTTTTATTATATGACGCAAAATCCATGGACGCTCGTCTGCTGCTGAATTCATGTTTTAAAAGAATGGACACAGATAGTCAGATAGTTGATACAAAAACCTTTGATTTTTCAAACTGATGGATCAAAAAGTTATTATAAACAGATATATTGAAATGGGTTAGTAACTTACATTGTCGATTAACTGAATCCGGGGAATGAAAGTCAACGCAACGAAAGTGTTTCGTTTTGATGGATTACGTACCAACTTATTGTACTTGGAAAGCGCAATGAAATGTAAATATAATCATGCGCATTTTTAGGAAGATGCTAGTGCTATACTTTTCACGAAAAACCATTTGACTTTATCCATGTCATACATGTATAAACCCGAAAATCAGTCAAAGATTGGCAAAAACGGAAGCAAGTCAACTCGCCCCATTGCAATTGGCAAAACGCCCCATTATTTTAAAATCGCTCCACTCTTGTTTAGGGAGCTACCATTTGATTTTTATGGGAGAGGGGGCTTTGACGGAATTTGAAAAAATGCGGGACAGGAGTTCTGAGTAAAAAATTAAAGCCAGGACCGAAAAGAATGAATAATAAACTGTCAGGACAGATATTACAACTAAAAACAATGCAGGATAACTGTTCATAACATTTTCATCCTAGCCCCCCCCCCCCCCCCCCCCCCCCCCCCCCCCCCCCCCCCCCCCCCACCCCACCAAATCAAGTGGTAGCTCCCTTCATACCAACTTGCTTGCCCCACATTAAAAAAAAATCGCCCCACTTGTGAAAAGGATTAAATCCTGTTAAATATACAATGTACTCCTGCCAACAGTGGCAACTTGCCTAACTTGGGTAAAATCCAAATGAATATAATCATGATAATATATAATAAATATATTATAAACAGATAAAGGTCTACCAACTCGCCCTACATGTACTTTAAAAAAATGAAAACTTATCTACCCAGAATTAAAATAAAAAATTGAAATTTAATATATGATATTTATTGAATTTAAATGATGTTTCACTTCTTAAAATATAATTGTAGATTCATTATTTACTATTATTTAATTTATGTATTTATTGGAAAATAACTTTATTCTTGCATATGCTTAGTTATTTGCAAAATAATTGCAAAGAAACCTGATTGTATCATAATCTATCTGATTGTTTTTTAGCCGACTCAAAATCATGCTGTTAATTAGGGCCCCCTGTTGTACATGTACTTAGGAATCGGACACCTCCAGAAGATGAAAGATCTACTTTACATGTACGTAATGTAAATATAAAAATAAGAAAATGTAGTATGATTGCCAATGAGAAAAGAGAGGAATTGGTAAAAGTCCGTGAAAATTCACTTGTTTTCCAATCCTAATAAAACTGTCATATTGTAATGTTTAAATAACCTAATTATTTTCAAAATAAAATCTTGTTTACACTAATGAGAAAAGACAACTCTCCATCAGAGATCAAATGACATCAAAGTTAACAACTAGAGGTCACTGTACATCCTTCAACAATGAGCAAACCCCATACCATATAGTCAGCTATAAAAGACCCCAAATGAAAATGACAAATTTGTAAAATAATTCAAACAAGAAAACTAGCAGACTAATTTATATACAAAACAAAGAACAAAAAAAACAAAATATGATACACAGCAACAAACGACAAACTGAACCACTGAATTACAGGCTCCTGACATGGGACAGGCACATACATACAAATATGTACAGGATGGGGTGGGGCTAGACTAGTAGTTTGTGGTGCCGAACCCACCTCCTAACCTGGTATATTGATGTGAAAAGGGCTTACTTAACTCGTCAGATCTATACAAAGTAGAAAGACATCTAACAAAACCACACACAAGACGTGGTGGGTACTTACACATCCCCACAACAAAAAAGACCAAGTTCAGATCTGAGAGTACTCCCAGTTACTATCACCTAGTTCAAAGCCAAAAACAAAGTACATTGTACATGTACAATGTATTTACCACCAAACCTTGCCTGGTTTAGTCCATTTCTCAGATACTACCTTATATAAAATAGTCCAACTTTTGGTGTAATTTAAACAACTTTGAATGACTTAAAATTTCAAAGTATCATGATTATTAATAACTTAATCCCCAAAGATTGGCATTATAAATCATGACAGATTCAGAGATCCTGTAATATATACTGTACATGTAATCACTTTTGTTCATCCCTTCATTCAAGGGTCATATGGAATTTATATGATGGATTAGAACATTGATAAAATGATTAAATACTTTTTTGTAGTCATTTTTTTTTCAGGGAAAGTTTGTTGGTCTAGTTTTAAAAGATCAAAGCAAGCCAATTTTGCCAGATCAAAATATTAAAGGCAATTTTGGCAGATACATTGTATTATAACTTCATTTTATTAAACATTATTAATTTAGCTTTTTCAACGAAAGTACAATTACTTTGAGAAGTAGGAGAAGCTAAGCAACAGGACAGAATTCATTTGAGGCATTGCTTTCTAGATTATATAGTGGAGTCATAGAGTGTCCTATTGATTTATGTGGATATGAGGAGCAGTAGTCAATGAATAATTTTGTGATGAGAGGTATGTAATGAAAATGATAACTATGTTTGAATAATTTTTTCTTGTCAGGCTCTGTACATGCAGTTTCGAAGATTTTTTTAAAAGTTTGAGGTCAAAGAGTTTAAAGTTTGATTCTTGTAATGTTGTGGGCAAGTTCGAAAATTATCCATGTTAGAAGTGACAAATTTATTTTTTTTACAGGTCATTTTTATAGAAAGCATGCAAAGCTCTCTTAATCGCTTGTTCTTTTTTGTCTAGCCACAACAGTTATGAAGCTGTGACTTAGGCATGCTGTTTTCAATAGAGGCATAGTCGTAAAAAAATTGTTGATATTCATGATGAGGTCAGTTTAAGGAAACCAAGAAATAAAACCTTTGCATCTTTTGTTGGCGGTATACCATCTTTTCCGCAAGTTCATTGTTTTCTGTTTAGTATTAAATTTATAATTAAGATTTATTATTACATCGGTGATCCGTTTATTTGGCAATTTATACAGGAATAATGTCACTTTGAATTGTATGAGTTAGAAAGTAAGTGCTATTAAAATTTAGGTTTACAGAAGTTATTCCGTGGAAATATATATTGTTTAATGTAATGAAAATTGCATTGCAAGCAATCCCAAACTGGTCTACATTTCTTTTAGATTATTTATGAAAATGTTTAAAAGAACAACCATATTGTATACTACAGCAAAAAAGTTTTGAGGTCGTATATTGCTATCAACTGGTTCGAAGACATTTGGTTTCCGGACAATAACTTCAGTTTAAGTGTATGAATGTCTATGAATTTAGATTTAAAGGTTCAATACCACAAAAGGAAGGTTGGGATTATTTTTGGCGTCATGGTTCAACCAGTGTAGGAATTAGGGGCCAAAAAAGGCCCAAATCAAGCATTTTTCTAAATTCAGGACAATAACTTGTTTATAAGTATTTTAATTGCTATGAAATTGTACCACAAGTAGAAGGTTAAGTTTCATTTTGGGGGTATTTGCCCAAACCATTCAGGAATTATGAGACCAAAAAGGGTCTAAAACAAGCATTGTCAGACTGGCCTATATTATTAATTGATCATGATAAGTTGTTCTCGTTTAGAATACATAAAATATTTGCCTCTGGACATTAAAATAAGAAAAAAAGTCAATCAAGTTATGTTTTTGCATTATCAGAATGAATTTGCAAATATATAACAATTAAATTATGTTGTATCCTTGGAGCTTTTTCAATGACCTAGCATATAAATATAAAAAGATGAGGTATGATCCTCAATGTGACAACTATCAATTAATAGACCAAAGGACAAAGATGTAAACATTTACTGGTCAATGTACAGCCTTAAACAATGAACAAAATCAATACCATAAAGTAACCTACAAGGATGAAAAATATAAACTACATACAGTAATGGCAGACAGCAAACAACATAAGAACCAACTTTCAAAATTAGCCAAAAAGGACTGGATTCATCAATAGGTCTTAAATAAAAAAGGTGCAAAAAACATGTCTTCCCAAACTAAAATATCTATCAGTTTACATTCAACAGATTTAGTGTAACAATGTTTCACAGTTTGTCATTTTATGCAGTCTTAAGAAAAGTATGACTGTGTAATGTCAAAATATTCAATATATCAAAAGGGTATAAAACCCATTTCTCAATGCAAGTATGCAAGGATGTACAGACAGACAAGTGTAAAACTTGATGCCCCCTCCGTTACGACAAGGGCATAAAAAAGAGATGCACAATGGGACTATGTCGGAAGTTTTAATAAATTATGAATTACATGTTTATGCAGAAAAAACACATACAAATGTGTGTTCTTGTGTGCAGATATAACTAATTCCATGTCAAAATTCCATGTATGTTTGACAAAGTTGCTGATATCCAAAAAACATTAAAAAACTTTAAATGGGGATTTTCCAGTTTTGGGACAATAACTCAAAATGTGTTCACCAAATGGCAAGAAACTTTTGTGACTTGTTTGTATCTATTGACATGAGCTCCCTTTCGATTTTTATAAATTTAAGATTTTATGTTTCCAAGTTGTGGGGTTATATTCATTTAAAAAAGGGAGATTTTCCAGTTTTCAGACAATAACTCAAAAATGCTTACAGCAGTTTTCATAAAACTTTGGTGAATTGTTTATATTTATTGTCATAAGCTCCCTTTTGGTTTTTATTAATTTTAGATTTTATGTTTCAGAGTTATGTGATTTTATTCATAAAAAAGGGGGATTTTCATATTTCAGACAATGCTTTGAGCAGTTATCATGAAACTTTGGTGACTGGTTTATATCTATTAAGATAACCTCCCTTTAGTTTTTCATGAATGTCTGATTATGACATTGAAAAGTTATTGAACTTTATTCTTTGAATAAGCGATTGGTGTATCATGTGCTCATGGTGCAGCTGTCTATTTATTTTGGGCCAGGTTTTCAAATTGGTCTACATAAAATTTGCATTTAAAAATGAAAGGTCCTGGACTATTTGAAATTTTCAGTCCAGTGAAAGGTCCTCCATTTTTTTTGTCAACATTGAAACCATTCTGAAGCGTACGAAAGGTATAAATAAAATGTACTTCTAGAATTTTATGTTTGACATCATGAGTACGCATATGACGTCACATTGTTTAGTTGCTAAAGACAATGCAAAATATTTGTTAAATGGTATTTATTTTAATATGCTGCATTAGAAAGTAGATAACTGTATTGTATTTTAAGCCTGACAGTCCATGTGTACATGTACATGTATGTCAACAGCCAATTCTAAGTAACCTTAAACATATATATACAAAAGACCTAAAATAATAGTATGTGCATCTATGGGAGACTTATATGTCACTGTTATCACACAGTGTTGTGTGGCTTCATTACTGATTAGAGACTAATCAGATTATCCTTTACTTTAAGTTCAAATATAATGTACATGTACTCAATGATTATGACTTGCCTTCATTAACTTGTAATAATTATGATGCAGGATCCAACAAAAGTATTTTTTTTTAACCTTCATTTTATGCATCAGTCTCGCTGATTTTTTAAGTACCTTGTAAATGTATATGGATATATGTATGAATTTAGTTGTAATACTTAGTTTTGAGTCTTGCACATATATACATCATTGTACATTGTCATAGAAGTTAAAATTACTTTGATCGCTGTCAGACAATGACAGAGTGTTTTGAAAATTGCTTCATAATGTTGATCAGATTACCTTATTTAATTAATAAAATGTTATTGTCACAGATTGAAATTTTTAGTATTTTATAAATAAGGTCTTACAATGTATGGTAGGATTGTCAATGAGAAAACATTCCATTAGTCAAAGAGGATGTAAAAAAATTTAGGTCACTGTATGACTTTCAACAATGAACAAAACCATACTACTAGTATATAGTCAGCTGTAAAAGATCCTGACAAAGTGAGCAACAATCCAATCCAGAAAACTAGTGATGTTCCAATTACCATGTGCAGTATTGGTTATAATATAAAAATATCACTTGTTTTCTCTCTCTTTGCCAAGTGATAACTGTATTCCTAATTTATTCTTATTGGAAAGCAGACTGCATCAGGTTAAGATTTTATATGATAATCACAGGAATTTTAATTTTCAGAATTAGCTCCTCAGATGTAAGTGGAAGGGAAGCTATATACATTATATGTTTAAATGAAATTAACAACAGGATTAGATATTGAGGAGATCCTATAGCTACAGTATATATAAATGTAACTGGTATGTATTTGTTACAGTATTTAATTTCCAAATGGTATAACAAAAATACTGAATTCCAAGGCAATTTCAAAAAAATCGTAAGGGTTCCGCAGAACCCAGTGTCTCGCCTACTTTTGCTGTTAATTGCATCATTTTCTCATCACTTGGCGTCCGTCGTCGTCCGTTAACTTTTACAAAAATCTTCTCTGAAACTATTGGGCCGAATAAAACCAAACTTGGCCTAAATCATCCTTAGGGTATCTAGTTTAAAAAATGTATCCGTTGACCCTGGCCATCAACCAAGATGGCCAATATTGCTTAAAATAGAACATGGGGGTAAAATGCAGTTTTTGGCTTCTATCTTTGAAACCAAAGCATTTAGAGCAAATCTGACATGGGGTAAAAATGTTCATCAGGTGAATATCTATCTCTGATAAATTTTCAGACGCTTCAGACAACCCGTTGTTGGGTTGCTGCCCCTGAATTGGTAATTTTAAGAATTTTTTTTTCAATTTTTATACGACCACAAAAATTATTGGTATCACGTTGTCGTCGTCGTCGCCCAAAGACACCTGGTTTCCGGACAATAACTTTAGTATTAGTAAATAGAAATCTATGAAATTTAAACATAAGGTTTATAACCACAAAAGGAAGGTTGGGATTGATTTTGGGGGTTATGGTCCCAACAGTTTAGGAATTAGGGGCCCAAATAAGCATTTTTCTAGTTTCATGACAATAACTTGTGGAACAGTGTATGGATCTCTCTGAAATTATACTACAAGTTTCCATACCAAAAAGGGATGGTTAGGATTGGCTTTGGGGGGTTGTGGCTCAAACCATTTAAGAATTGGGACAAAAAAGTGAGAAAAAACAAGGGTGTCCTGGTTAATGGACAATTACTTAAGTACAAATTACAGTGTAAGGGAGGTAATTCCAATACATCTTGGAAATTTGAATTGAAATTATGACCATAACTGAGGGAAAGATTTTTTTTTTTGGAAAAAGGGGGGGGGACAATTTTTTCTCCTCAAGATTTCAGAAATCAAAATCAAAAAGAAAATCCTTCAAATTTTTTTTTTTTTTTTAAAAGGGGATGGAGGTCAATTCGCAACAGCATAGTGTATTACACAAAAGCAAAATTTTGAATATAAATTCAAATCATATAACCAATTCTAAGTTCTTTGACTACAGTTATTCTGTGTCAGAAACCTATTATGTGTCAAATATTGAATTGCAATCCAAATTCAGACCTGTATCAAGCGCGAATATTGTGTCCATATTTGCCCCAACTGTTCAGGGTTGGACCTCTGTGGTCATATCCAGCTGCGCTCAGCTGCGCTCAGCAAAGCAATTTATTGGTTATTATCTTGAACATTATAATAGAGATAAACAGCAATAATGCTCAGCAAAATAAGATTCACAAATAAGTCAACAGGATCAAAATGGTCAATTGACCCCATAAGGAGTTATTGCACTTTAAAGTCAAATTTAACAATTTTTTCGTAAATTTTTGTTATCTTTTAAAAAAGTCTTTTCCTGAAACAACAGAGACAAATTTAACCAAACTTGGCCATAATAAGCATTAGGGTATCTAGTTTAAAAATAGAACATAGGGGAAAAATGCAGTTTTTATACGACCGCAAAAAAATTTTGTGGTCGTATATTGGTATGACGTTGGCGTCGTTGTCGTCGTTCGAAGACACATTGGTTTTCGCACTCTAACTTTAGTTATGGGGGTTATGGTACCAACAGTTAAGGAATTAGGGGCCAAAAAGGGGCCAAAAATAAGCATTTTCTAGTTTCCAGACAATAACTGTGGTACGGTATATGGATCTCTCTGAAATTATACTACAAGTTTCCATACCACAAATGGATGGTTAAGATTTGCTTTGGGGGGTTATGGCTCAAACCGTTTAGGAATTAGGGGTAAAAAAGGGGGAAAAACAAGGTTGTCCTGTTTAATGGACAAATACTTTAGTACAAAACATAATTTTAAGCAGTGTAAGGGAGATAAATCAAATACATCATTGAAATTATCTCCCTTACACTGCTTTTAAATTATGTATAAAGTAATGGTTAATGAACAATAAGAATAATTTAAAACAGTGTAAGGGAGGTAATCCAAAAACAACGTTTTGGTTACTTCCCTTACACTGCTTTTAAATTATGTTTAAAGAAATGCATATTTATAAAGGAAGACCAGTAAAAATATCTGCAAATGTTGCATCTTTTTTTTTACAAAAAAATCCATATGAAAGATTTGACACTATATTTTTAATTCTATTATAAAATAGATTAAGTTAGCACTATGGTAAATTTAAATGGGTAATTATGGTTGCCAACTCCATTGGAAATTTGAATTGAGATTATGACCATATCTTGAGGGAAAGAATTTTTTTGGGGAAAAAAGGGGGGGGGATAAAAAGAAATTGTGGGGGGTCAATAATCTTTAATTGCACAGTATGGCGCATTAGATTTGTAAAATCTTTGATCACAGTTATTTATTTGTTATGCCGAATCTAACAGTGTATTTAGATTTTTAATTTTGGGTCCAGTTTTCAAATTGGTCTACATTAAGGTCCAAAGGGTCCAAAATTAAACTTTGTTTGATTTTTTAGCAAAAATTGAATATATGAGGTTCTTTGATATGCTGAATCTAAACATGTATTTAGATTTTTGATTTTTGGCCCAGATTTCAAGTTGGTCCAAATTGGGGTCCAAAATTAAACTTTGTTTGATTTCAACAAAAATTGAATATATGGGGTTCTTTGATATGCTGAATCTAACCATGTATTTAGATTTTTTATTTGTGGACCCCGCTATCAAATTGGTTCATATTGAGGTCAAAAGGGTCCAAAATTAAACTTTGTTTGATTTCATCAAAAATTGAATTATTGGGGTTCTTTGATATGCCAAATCTAACCGTGTATTTAGATTTTTAATTTTGGGTCCTGTTTTTTAAATTGGTCTACATTAAGGTCCAAAGGGTCTAAAATTAAACTTAGTTTGATTTTAACAAAAAATGAATTCTTGGGGTTCTTTGATATGCTGAATCTGAACATGTGTTTAGATTTTTGATTATTGGCCCAGTTTTCAAGTTTGTCCAAGTTGGGGTCCAAAATTAAACTTTGTTTGATTTCAACAACAATTGAATATATGGGGTTCTTTGATATGCTGAATCTAAACATGTATTTAGATTTTTGATAATGGGCCTAGTTTTCAAGGTGGTCCAAATTGGGGTCCAAAATTAAACTTTGTTTGATTTCAACAAAAATTGAATTTATGTGGTTCTTTGATATGCTGAATCTAACCATGTATTTAGATTTTTTATTTGTGGGCCCCCCTTTTTTAAATTGGTCTTCATTGAGGTCCAAAGGGTCCAAAATTAAACTTAGTTTGATTTTAACAAAAATTGAATTGTTAGGGTTCTTTGATATGCTGAATCTAAACATGTGTTTAGATTTTTGATTATGGGCCCAGTTTTCAAGTTGGTCCAAGTTGGGGTCCAAAGGGTCCAAAATTAAACTTTTTTTGATTTCAACAAAAATTGAATATATGGGGTTCTTTGATATGCTGAATCTAACCATGAATTTAGATTTTTTATTTGTGGGCCCCGCTATCAAATTGGTTCATATTGAGGTCAAAAGGGTCCAAAATTAAACTTTGTTTGATTTCATCAAAAATTGAATTATTGGGGTTCTTTGATATTCCAAATCTAACCGTGTATTTAGATTTTTAATTTTAAGTCCTGTTTTTTAAATTGGTCTACTTTAAGGTCCAAAGGGTCCAAAATTAAACTTAGTTTGATTTTAGCAAAAATTGAATTCTTGGGGTTCTTTGATATGCAGAATCTAAACATGTGTTTAAATTTTTGATTATGTGGCCCAGTTTTCAAGTTTGTCCAAGTTGGGGTCCAAAATTAAACTTTGTTTGATTTTAACAAAAATTGAATATATGGGGTTCTTTGATATGCTGAATCTAACCATGTATTTTGATTTTGGACATTGGACCATAATAGGTAAATTAAAAAAAAATCAAGTTCTTAGACCACATTCTTTCTGTGTCAGAAACCTCTGCTGTGTCAAATATTTAATAACAATCCAAATTCAGAGCTGTATCAAGCTTGAATGTTGTGTCCATACTTGCCCCAACTGTTCAGGGTTCGACCTCTGCGGTCGTATCAAGCTGCACTGCTTGAAAAATGAGGAATTGTGTTTCTACAAGCACTTAGTAATCTAGATCTATAATACTAAAATAACAAGGTCCAATTTGTGAGCCGGCATGACATAAAAATGACGATTCAAAGAATTCAACTTTATTTATAACTTATATAATATATATAGGACAATGGTGTTGATTAAAAATTACACCATTCCAGCCCCATTTGTTTTCCACATAATTATTACTACAGATAATTAACAAGTTCTGGGTCGAAGGGTTCAAAAAGAAAGATTTTGAAAGCAGAGAAAACTGTGCACCTAATGACCAGCATGACATTATTAGATGACAAAACGAAAAATCTTAAAATTCAGGCTAAAAATAAGGCTAAGGTACTTTGCTTCAGTCACAACACCATGATGTCCCGGAGTATTCTAGTATATATTATATATACAGGTAATGTGTAGTACACATGCATGAATAGAGTTAGTTTTCATTATTACGGTAATTTATGTTGATAAAAATGAGAATATTATAAGTTATCTACGTTCATATCTGTAGATATGGATATTTTAACACCCTGAAGTATCCAAGTACAGGGTACTGAAGGGTGTTAAAATATCCATATCTACGGATATGAACATATAACAAATTTATCCCCGGTCTTAGTCCAAATCTTGTCATTTTTAGAGAAATTCGACCACAAAGTGTAACGTAAAAGCAACGTGTTTTTCATTTTATAAAAATCTTATATTGAAATTTGGGAATTCGACATATTTTTTACGGGGTGTAGGGTACAACCTTTGGTAGAACCCTACAGGTAGTCAAATATAAGACGTTTTCAATCCGGAGACAGAGAAACTGGAATGGGTCGAATTTGGCGCTCAATGTTGTGAGAGTTACATCATAGACGGCGTGACGTCAACGTGGGTCATTTGCAAAGCTAGGTCAGTAGTCCCATTCATTGACAATGTGGCAGCATAGTGATGCATGTACTAAAATGAGTGCAAATAATCAAAGGCGACATATAATAAGATAAAATCGTTAGTGGATTAAGTATCTAATTATACAGACATACACCTTACAAATATAGATTCATTTCGTCTTCAAGCCATTGTTCCACTACTAAATTGTCTATTCTTCTTACCAGTACACTTGGTACAATCAAAAACCTGATAATAAATTGTTCAAATAAGGCCTTCGAAAATAGTGGAATTAATTACTTTTGGAGTGTCAAGAACTCGTTGGAAGTACTTAATAAATTGCATGCATATATTGGTGATTTTGAATCTGTTCAAAGTTTTGATTTTTCTACCCTATATACCACATTGCCTCACATTCTCATTAAGAAAAAATTCACACACCTAATTAAATGGGCATTTAAAAAGTCAGAATGTGAATATATATGTTCAAACTCTTTTAGGTCATTTTTTAGTAGCAATAAACAAAAAAACTATGTCAATTGGACATGCTTTGATACTATATATGCCCTTGAATTTTTACTAGATAACATTTTTGTTCGCTTTGGAGATTCCGTATATCGTCAGGTCATCGGAATTCCAATGGGGACTAACTGTGCACCACTTATTGCGGACCTTTTTTTGTATTGCTATGAGTTACAATTTATGACAAAAATCAGCAAAGACCCATCGAAACAACATCTGATACACAAATTTAATAATACTTTTAGATATTTGGATGATATTTTGGCTCTCAATAATGACGACTTCAGTATGTATACTAAAGAAATTTATCCTGTTGAACTTACTTTAAATAAAGCTAATACTAACAATGACCACTGCCCTTTCCTCGATCTTGATATCTATATCATTAACGGAAAGCTTAATACTAAAATATATGATAAAAGAGATGATTTTTCATTTCCTATCGTTAATTATCCATTTTTAGATGGTGACGTTCCCTTGTCACCATCTTACGGTGTTTATATATCTCAACTTGTACGAATCGCTCGTGTATGTAACAATGTTTTAGATTTTAACGAGAGAAATTTATGTATTACTGAAAAATTATTACACCAGGGTTTTCGATTTCACAAACTAGTCAAAACATTTACTAAATTTTATCATCGGTATAAGGACATCATTCGTAAATATAGCTCAACATGCAGACTTCTTATACGTTCAGGTATTTCACATCCAATTTTTTATGGAAATATTCTTTATAAAGCACAAAAATGTCAGTATTCACCTCTGAAGCTAACAAAACCTTTAAATAGACTTATTAAGAAGGGATATAGTTACGATACTGTTGTCAGGTCATTAAAGATTGCATATTTTGGCGTTAATATTGATTCACTTATAGGGTCTTTGCATCGGCACTAAACACATTTATTTAAAAACCAGTTGTTGGCATGACACGGGTTATGTTCTTCTCATATATGTTATGATGGTATGATACTAAACCCCTAACGGGAAGGATTGTGCCTGATGTTCATATGATGAAGACATGATCTTTCAATCAGTTTAATTGAAGTCTGGAGCTGGCATGTCAGTTAACTGCTAGTAGTCTGTTGTTATTTATGTATTATTGTCATTTTGTTTATTTTCTTTGGTTACGTCTTCTGACATCAGACTCGGACTTCTCTTGAACTGAATTTTAATGTGCGTATTGTTGTGCGTTTACTTTTCTACATTGGCTAGAGGTATAGGGGGAGGGTTGAGATCTCATAAACATGTTTAACCCCGCCGCATTTTTGCGCCTGTCCCAAGTCAGGAGCCTCTAGCCTTTGTCAGTCTTGTATTATTTTTAATTTTAGTTTCTTGTGTACAATTTGGAGTTTAGTATGGCGTTCATTATCACTGAACTAGTATATATATTTGTTTAGGGGCCAGCTGAAGGACACCTCCGGGTGCGGGAACTTCTCGCTGCATTGAAGACCTGTTGGTGACCTTCTGCTGTTGTCTGTTCTATGGTCGGGTTGTTGTCTCTTTGACACATTCCCCATTTCCATTCTCAATTTTATCATGGACAATCTTCATAATTCGATACATTGTATGTAAGGAACAACCATGGAACTAAGGAAAACGGGCGTGAAGTTCCCCGATGTAATGGGTAGCAACGTCCGGGGATATGGGTTAGCAACACCCAGGGGCTATGGGTTTTGTAACGAAGTGCGTTAACCAATCAAACTCCTAGAAATATACTAAGCCGGGGATAAGTAGTATTATTGCCAATGAGACAACTATCCACCAGAGTCCAAATGACTGAATGTTAGCAACTATAGATCACTGTATGAACAGCTTTCAACAATGAGCAAAACTGATACTGCATCTAGCAAGCTATTAAAGGTCCTGAAATTACAGATGTAATACAATTCCAATTTACGTAAAAGACATTAAACGAAAAATAAATATGATAAACAACAACTATTATATTCCACTCCAGTTGTTCACACGATATATATATATATATATATATGTAAGTTTGGTAAATCATTGGAGATTAAATTGATGTTATCATTTTTTGCTTGATTGGTAATCCAATATTTGATGTATGTTTTACAAAAAAAAATGCTGTTTTTGTCTCGCTTGACGGAGTCAAAAAGCGAGGCATAGGTATGCTGTTTCTGGCGTTGGTGACGACAGCGGCGTCAACAATGTATTAGTTTGTGATTAGGTCTAGTTTATAGTGAACCACAAGTAGTAAGTCGAAGATATTTGGTATGCAGTTGTATTAGTATTGGCACATCTCATTACCATGGAGATTATTTGGCCCCGCCCCCTCAGTTATGGTTTATTGACTAAATTTGAAATTCTTGCTTAGTCTTCATGTATTAGTTTGTGATTGGGTCAGTTTATGGAGAACCACTAGTGGTAAGTTAATTATGATTGGTATGCAGTTGTATAAGCATTGGCATATCTCATTTCCATGGAGATTATTTGGTCCCACCCTCTCAGTCATGGTCTATTGACTTTTAAATTTTTGCTTAGTTTTCATGTATTAGTTTGTGACTAGGTCAGTTTATGGGGAAAAACTAGTGGTAAGTTCATGATAATTGGTATGCAGTTAAATACGCATTGGCATATCTCATTTCCATGAAGATTATTTGGCCCTGCCCCCTCAGTCATGGTCTATTGACTTTGAAACTTTTGCTTAGTTTTCATGTATTAGTTTGTGATTAGGTCGGCTTATGGGAAACCACTAGTGGTAAGTCAATGTTATTTGGTATGCAGTTGTATTAGCATTGGCACATCTCATTACCATGGAGATTATTCCCCCCCCCCCCCCCCCCCCCCCCTCAGTTATCGTTTATTGACTAAAATTTTCTTAGTTTACATGTATTAGTTTGTGTTTAGGTTTTTTAAAGGGAACTACTTATGATAAGTCAATGGTATTTGGTATGCGTTGTATTAGCATTGGCACATCTAATTTCCATGGAGATTGTTTAGCCATGTACCTTTAGTCATGGTTCATTGACTTTGAATATTTGCAAATCTTACATGTTAAAGTGTTGCTATTTTAATTTCAACATTTGCATTATCGAAATTACTAAAAAGCGAGACATATCTCTGTGATTACAGTTTATTTATTTTTTTTACAGCAACTGTATTCCAAGAGTCTGATGGCTGATAATGTATTACAGGATTTTATCATTCAAGCAACATCTTAGAAGGATAAGTGCAAATGTATGAAGGAAGCCTTGGGTACAAATAGCAATTACAGCAATTACATGCAGGAGAGAACTCTTAACATTACTAACAGACATGTAGTCATTATATGGGAGTGGTTTATTCAAGAAATCTAAAACACATGGAATTAAATATCGTGTATATTTTTTCAACCACAAGTACTCTCAGAATATAATACAATTCAAATTCAAATTATTGTGCCAACATGACAATTACAGTCTAAAAATGGAAAATGCATGTTTTAAACTGATTTTTATATAAATATTTGAAATAACAAGAATTTTTAGTTTATTGTGCAGCTAAACTTTGAGATCTTCTAATGGTATATGCCTGTTGTTTGTCAACTTTGTTTTCTTTTTGCCTTAACCTTAAGATTGGTGTTAAAATGAAAAACTGAAATAGATATATGAAATAAGAAGGAAATGGTTGTAAATAACAGCAAGACTTTCAATATGGTATATCAAAATATATTTCACAGAACTTTCTATTTCAGTTTATTAATACAATGAGATATGAGGTATAAATAAATCAGACAGCTACACAACAAAAACACATGAAAGGCATTAAGGTGCTAACATACAGTCCTCAACAATGAACAGGTGTCTAAACAATGTCATGATCTACTTAATTAACCAGAGTCTATACCAATCAAAGAGCTGCCATCAACACCAAATTCTTTAATTATTTTTTTTTATTAGGATGAGACTTAGACAACCACTGAAAAGGTTCCTGGCTTGAAACAGGCACAGGAATATGTGGCAGGGTGAAATACTTTTTTTCTTCAAAACTTTCAAAAGAAAAATTGGCATCTTTTGCAAGTAAGACTATTTCCATAATGGGATTGGATTGTCTCATGGCTGATAACCACAAAATGACTTGTACATACATATTAAAAATGAAATATACATTAGTGCATACATATTCTATAAATGAATCACCAATCCTTACATGACTTTTAAAAAAAGTATTGAGACTTGAACATAACCGAAAAAATTCTAGGAGTGAACTAAGGTGACCTGGATATTTGCTTGCCTTCTTTGTTTTATTGCATCTTATCTCTTGCATTGGAGATATTGGGAGTTGATAGATAAATATTTTTTGTATTGTTTAGGATCAAGAAAGTAAAATATAATGGAAGTATGAACACATAGTCAAGACCAAGAAGAATATTTATATATCAAAATAGAATGTGTACTAGATTAGCATTAACTTATCTAAAATATGCTCAAATACTGTGAATTTGTGTGATTGATGCTCAATTCACCTTAATTTCATTTTGCGTGTGTATATATAGAGAAAACACATGTATAACGCATGTGTTAGAAAAATGTGTTAGAAATTGCATGTAATTCACATGAGAACTGAGAAACATGTCAACAATCATGGTAATTGGACAAATAGGAGGACATTTTGAAAAATATTTAATACAGGCACCATGCCTTTTACATGTAGTAATCACGCATGTATCACAGGTGTATTTCCTTACGCATGTGATTCACATGTGAAACGCATGATCACATGTGTGTATCATGCGTATCACATGTGTTTTTCACACATGTGTCACATGCGTGGCATGAAACGTCTCTTTCACATGCGTGTGACACGCATGTGAAACGCATGTGTCACGCATGTACACATGTGTGGCATTTTTGCCAGTGTATACAAACCATTCTTCATTATGTAAATAAATATTCAATATCAGGGCAATCGTTTCGTTATTTGCACCCAATACCTTTTCAACTAAAATGAATATATTTTTTTTTATTTTTCATTTCGGAAAACCTCACTTCAACCAATTATTTGTGAGGTCAATTTTGCTCAATCTGTAGTGTTATTTGTAGTGTATTTTGGACTGTTTTTGTTTCTTCCTCCTTTGGATGCAGTGGTGTTGTTGGTGTACTTTGTTTGGTGATTTTTTGTTTTCATTTTGCTATTCATTTCTTAAATACATGAAACGTACAGTAGAAGCAACCGCTTTAAAACAAACTCGAAAAATGACTTCTTCTGTGTTTTGTCAACATTTTTATCTTGATCTCATCAAAATGTCTTAGGTGCCTACCAACAAATAACACAATAAGGACATTTACTGATTATAACGTGTTACGGTATGTGTTATAAAAAGAAAAGAACATACTAACAAATGTTAACAATTTTTTTTTACTTATATTCTTTTTTCTTTTTTGATTTTGAAATGACAAAAGATATTAATTGTTTGTGATGCCGTTTCATTTTGCACTTTTAGATTTTTTAATCAGTTTTAATCACTGTTGCATTCGCCTCAAACTATTTCCCCTTTTTATCTTGCTTAAAGAGGTTCTTCTAAAAACTAAAAGTACGCGAAAGTGAGACATTTAAAATCTTGCATCAGACTAATAACTGCGGTGGAATTAATCTAGTTCTGAGTAATATGGGTGTTGTCACTTACGAGCATGTACTGATTACCTTTCCAGTGTACCAATAGTGAATCAACAGGTTAAATGGGGTCCTTGTTAAAGATATTTTAACAAATCTATTTGTCTTTCTAAGACATATCTTTTTCCGATAAAACATATTGTGAACCTCCTAATATACAATTTTATACCTTCCAGGGAAAACAGTCTTGCTGTTATATATTTGATTGAAGTCTATAATATAGACAAAATAAATATATGACACATATACGTATATTCTTGAATTGCATAATTTGTAGATTTAATCACTTTTTCTCTTATTTATGACATTGCCAGATTTGTTCTAGTAATGATCACTACGATCGTTTCAACTCCTGGAATGGGAAGGCCAAACCGTTTTTGATGAGTTCATTTTCCAAATTCTTCAGTTCTCTTTGTAGTGTTTTCTAGCCTGCGGTTAATCTATTCGTTTGTTAGTAGTTATTCTTTTTGAATAGAAATTTTATCTTACTTTTGTCACAGAATGTTTTTTTTTTTTGTGGTTGGTTGTCCCCTTGATATTGTTGTCTTTTTATTAATATTATTTTATCATAAAAACGAAACTGTTCACTGCACTGAAATACCCTTCTTAAAACAATTATGTTTATCGAATTCCAGGAATTGTTATTTTGATTAAAACAAGTATAACTGAAGGGGAAGTATATTTAATTTGTATGTTTTTTTTAATTTTTACGAAATAGTGTATGCATATAAAAGCAGTTGATCTGCATCACAGTTTCGAAAAAAAAACAATAAATGTAGCATTTATACTTTCAGAGATACAATCAAATATTTGTAAAAAAGATCTATAAAATGCCACGAATGTACGAACAAGCGGCGAAAAAATATGCCTTTTTTTTTAAAATAAAAATAACATTACTGGAATTCGATATCATAATTTTAAATAGAAATTTCGGATTTCCCTATATGCGACTCAAATCTTGATGCGGAATGCCCATTTTATAAAGTTCCAGGCCTTGGTATCATAATCTACAAGGCATCCCTATATTCGGGATACAATTCAGTGTAAAAACTGACCAATTAAGACTTTTGCAAATCCCTTCTGGAAAAATTTATCCATTTCGTGCTATTCATAATACATCATAGATACAAGTATTCAATTTATTTACGCTAGACACGCGTTTCGTCTATAAAATAACTCATCAGTGACGCTCGTATCAAAAAAGTTAAAAAGTTCAAATAAAGAACAAAGCTGGAGAGAATTGAGGACCAACAATTCCGAAAGGTTTTGCAAATTATACAAAGAAGGTGATCTATTCATGGGGAAGAAAATTTTCAGTATTTAAGAAAAACCAAAGTTTTGTAAACTGCTAATTTATAATTATGACCATATTAATGTACTGACAAGTGGGCTTGTAATATCATCGGTGAGGAAACCTCCTCAATAATGGATTCGACCCAGTAGTTGTTAATAACTTAATATCAGTTCTGTTGAATTGTTTTAGTAATGAAGAAATCGTCACTGTGTTCCCACGCTGTTGAATCCACTTATATATGTACACTTCAAAGGGGTCCAACGGTAGATCACCTTCAAAGAAAGAAAAATAAACAGAAGAACGAAAAGAAAGGAACGACTACCCGATAGTCCTTATTCTAATTTGAAGATATAAATGATAAAATATGGGAATATTTTCAAGCTGTCGTTAATAGGTACATTTCTGCAGCTTTTACAATAATATATCAAATTACTGAATGTTTATGAAGTTTTCCTTTACATTCATGACAGTAAAGAAATATCCGCAAAAAGAGAGACATAGTTTGTCCCCTTGTTTATTTTTTAATGGTATTTGTTAATAGATATAAAAATAATTGAATATCGATAAATGTATCTACCAGAAAGTTTATTGACCTACACATTAAAAAGCAAAATAACAAAAATACCGAACTTCAAGGAAAATTTAGATCGGAAAGTCCCTGATCAAATGGCAAAATCAAAAGCTCAAACACATCAAACGAATGGAAAACAACTGTCATATTACTGACATGGTACAGGCATTTCAAATGATACAGATACATTTTGAACTGCCTGTTATGCATAAACCTTAATCTACATATTTCAGTTAGCCTGCAAAGTAGAAATTCTAAAGTAATTTGGATTAAACTAATGATCCGGATACATATGGATATTCTTTGGAACTGGACTAACAAAGATGTTTCAATGTGAATTATGCTCAAAACAGGAGGTCCCAAAGGTATAATTAAAAACGATAAGAGGCAGAAATATTAAGGCCATGGCAAAGAATGGAAATCGACAAAACAAACAACAGTGTAGAAAACAATCTGTGATTAACTAAAGACAGAGCAACATAAATCCCACCAAACATATGGGTGATATCATGTGTTCTGGACAGATAAAGAGACCAGTCGTGTCGCTCATGGCAGGTAAACTTTTGTTTATGTCACAACCAAAGATCAGTGGATGGAATTGTGGATACAGCAATTCGCTAAATAGCTGTATTGTAAGCAGCTGCAACCCTCTATTAAGGAAATCATCGTACAGAACGCAGGCTCTGGAATGAAGTTTTAATCAGACAATATTCACTGTATCTGCTGGCACTTCTTGGATCTTGCTATATAGAAATAAAAATTAAGACAACTGAAATCATTTATTTTGTTGTAAAGTTAGTTCTCAACCGATCCTCAATGTCTATTTATAAATGTCAGAAAATACATGCAGCAGAGTTGGCTGTATCTCTGGTATCCATTTTTTCAAGTTCGATGGAATAGATACGTTTGATCACCAACTTTGAATTATCAAAAGCAATTATTGCATCTCATTCTGGCAAAAAAGTACCATTACGATTTTTTCGATCCCTATTGTTAACTTTCC